GCAAATTTGTGAGAATGAGTATGTTTTGTTCATTTAAGCGTGAGAACTACTGTTATTAAAGCAAATGGAAAGCAAACTACAAGAAATATAACGAAAACGTGAGAGTAACTTTTGAACTCCACTGTACATCAGCTCAGCAGAATTTGAGATATCTAATCCGGTTTTAAATAGACTTGTCTCATAGCGGTATTCATTCATTCTAGATCTAATTTCACACACATTCTAAGTCAAAATCTCAATCGGTTTAGTGTTTAGATCTCTATGGTTTTAGCACAGATCAGTTTAGCGTTACATCATCTTTAGGTGACTATTTTTGGCCTGGGGTCGGAGTGGTTGGATTTAATTAATTCGGTCTGGACTTGTTTTAGCTGTGCATGTGATGTTTAGGGGTGTCCTGACACACTTGGTGTCATATAAACTAATATAGTAATAATAATAAGATTATAATTCTTCATGAAAATGCATATTAAGGCTCCACCCTAAACAAACGACAACCACAACAACAAGGTACAAAACAACAAAACTTTAATTAACACAATGCCCTGATTCCTCTCCCCAATTCTGTCTCTGAAACATCCCACACAAGGGATTTGACATCGTCATTCCTCTTCAGTTTCTACAGGCTGAAGCCGATATGGGTACAAAAACACACCGAAAACAACAAACTGATATTGACCAGTGAGAGAAAACAGCAGTGAAGTCCAGCAGTGTGGAAAGAACGGGATGGCTGGATCTGAATGTTTTTCCAAATAAATGGATACGAGTATGAATTAGAAAGGTTCAATCAAGCAGTACTGATCCATATCCAGCACAGCCAAACTTCAGCCTTATTTCAAGAGCCAAAAGGTGACTGAACCTCCGGGAAAGCACAGGCAGTTACACTGAGAAGCACAACAGAACCAAACATTTGCTTAAAATGCTCTCTTTCTTTCAAAACGAAGCAGAAGTATTTCTAACATCAGTGCTTCGAATGTAAAAACAGTGAGAAATGCTCGCTGATATCATTTTGGCAGTTTAAGTCAAGTGAATGCTTCTGAAAAAGGTTTTGAAAAATGTGAGTTTGCATTAGTTTGATAACTGAGGGTAAACAATTCCTTGGCATAGTTGATATTTTCACGTGATAATCTTCCTAAATGATAATTAAAATCAAACGACCTTTTGTTTTTGAAAAAAACTGAGCACCTTACACAATACGACCATGCCACCATGGTCACCATGATGATGATATTACAAAGCAAAGCCATTATAGCCACACATTTGTAATACAAGAAATACAAATTCCAAAAGCAGTCAAAAATAAACAATAAACAGAAAAACAAAACAAGTTGTCATTACTGAGAGAAAGAAAACAAAAACTTAAATTCTGACATCCAGCACTACAAAGAGACATTAGTGGTTTACAAAGTACATTTTTTAAGACAGTGTGGTCTGTTATGCAAATCAAATGTACAAAGAATTATTGTCTATGATGATAACGCACTATACATGATGCATGGGCATATATTACTGATCATGGACATTCACAGATGTGACCGTTAACTGATAAATTGGTTATTCTGAAACGTTGACTCATATCTTACATTACTGGACTCTGATACTCATTGACCTATAAAAACTGTTTATTTGGGGTCAACAGGCCTTTTTTTTTTTTTATATATACACCCAAGATATTAGCAAAAGGCTGTAAATTCAGCTTTGCTTTGGTCAAGATTCTGACGTTTGGAATGTTGGTAATTAACTATTTAGCATCAGCATCAATGTATGATCGTTCAACTGATACGCTACTCTCTGTGCAATAAACGCTTGAGAGGAAAAAAAACAGACTTTCCATCCTTAAATGGAAAATATTTAATTCCTTCATTTTAACAAAACACATTACGCTACTGAAGTTGATTCGGTTTTCTGATTCCATGCGACTATCTTGCATTAATCAACGATCCTTTCATTCAGATGCAGTGCTTAAATCAATCCAAATATCACAGGCATGCGTCTCATCGCAGTATCACTTACTCACAATGGCCTTTTAAAAGGTCATTACCTCAAACGATGCAAAACATTTTTATTTTTTTTTTGCCATTGGTAACCCTGTCTTTAAACTGAAATTTAGTCATTCAGTCATAAATGAGCAACTGTCTTAAAAATATAAATAATTAAACATGTGATACGGTATTTTAGCCTGCTGTCTCAAAGATACAAAAAAATAATAATCTGCGTAACACATCTGACTGACAATGAACATGGTGATATGACAAACTAAAAGTCTTTGAGGGAATTTGAGAATTGTAGATGAAGGGACACTTGCAAATTACTAAACGTAAGAATTTTTGACATTTGTTTTGGAGCACTGCATATTACATTTTTGGAGTATTTGCATCCTATTTTGTTCCACACATGTATGGAATCTTCAGAATCTGTCATTTAGGAATATAATGCATCCCTTTTCTCATTTTCTTCATTTGATGCCTCCTTTGAAAGGTAAGCACAGTGACCATCGGACCAAGATCTCCCCCGCCGTCCAAAGGTGACCTCCGCTGGTGATCTCGAGCCTCTTGAAAACTTCACTGGGTGGATTCCAGATGGGTAAAACTGTGTGTGACTGTCTGTGTTTAAGTCTTAAATAAATTAGGTGCATCACTTATTAATAAATATCCTGCAGTTTCTCGCTGTCCCAATCCAACGAGCTCAAATGTCAAACAAAATCAAGCTAGCAGAGAGGGCGGGCATTTCAGTGCATACTTGGCGTCACTCTTACACATGAAGGTGCATATCAATGTCAGTCGATACGGTTACCGCAGATAGTAAAGCGGTCAATCTCCAGCAAGTCTTTTTTGGGCGCCTTGTGTTTAAGTTCGGTATCGTCCTGAATAAGGCTTTTCTCTTCTGATTCATCTGGTGTAGTGAGGAACTGATCTGATAGGCTGGTGGGGAGCTGAGGGGCGGGGCATTCGTCACTTTGGCTGGGCTGAGTGGTGACTGATGCAGACAAGCCCTCCTCCGCTGGCTCACCTTCAGATGGGTGTGGACGCAATTGGTTAGTGAGAATAAAACCTTTATAAGTATGGAAGACAAATAATGACAGATGAAAGTATAGCCCTGAAAATACAAGGCGTTAAAATGCAAGCACTGTTAATGCAATGCATTATTTTTTCAGTCTTTTTTTTGTTTCAAAGACATTTGTCCTAATTTTTCTAACATATATAAGACTCTATTATCTACTGACCCTATTGATCACTCTATTATCAGGGCTTGTTGTGTGTGTGTGTGTTACCTGCTGGTTCTCGTGTGTGTTTGGTTCGGTGGGCTCTGCTAGACGCTCTGCTGGGAGCTGCAGAGGGAGGATTCCGAAACAGCTTCTCCTCCATATTGGCCTCTTTCACATACATACAGGATTTCCCCAACAACACAATACTGTTCAGCACCTTCAGGGTGATCATACTGAATAAACACACACACATAGGCTCAGCGAAACATTCAGATCATTTACGCTACTGTTCAAACGTTTGGGATCAGTTACATTTTTTAAAGCAGATTCTTATGTTCACTAAGAGTAAAAACGGAGAGTAATA